TGCGTAAAAGGATATGAAAATGCAGCACTGGAGTAAATGTGCAGGTTGACCCACTTTAAGTTTTAACAGTGTTTATACCTGAGGGGAGAGTTTGCGTAAAAGCTTTCCACTTGAGATCATTTTAAGGTGCACTGAGGTAATTTGAAAATGTAGAAAAGGGACTTAAATGAGAGTTTAATTGTATTTACAGTATTATAATGGCTGGTTTTAGTGGTGGTGTGGTCATAGTTTACAAACCTTATCATCTGCCAGCAGCCACATCACCACGCACAGGTCAACGTCCCGCTTTCTTTAAATTTATGGAACGTGATGTTCTGTAAAATTTCAATAAGTGGCCCCCTAATTCCTCCTTCCTAATTCACTCTCATTTAACTTTACCTTCCTTCCGCTGTCTTTTATTATGGAGGGGGCGGTGGGGGGTGGAGGAGGGTGGAGAGCTGTCTGAGGCGCTCTATTGATGACCTCACGGTAGTATGTGGCTGTGCGGCGGGACGGAGCCGCTGATTGGTCGCCCGTGTCACAGCGGCACTTCAAAGCCGGAGAGGAGCCTACAATTGTGGAAGAATGGGCGGAACACATCATTGTATTGCACACCTCTAAAAAAACAGTGCTCTGATTCATAAATATAAAAAGATCCTCTGAGGAGGGCAGTGTTTTTGTGTGATGGCAACTTCACTTCTAGGGGTGAGTCGAAAGGACTTTCTTACTGGTTTAATTAGTTCTTGTCATTGTCCGGCGGAGGGGGATTAAACTTACAGCGGCCGCAAAGTAGCAGCAAAGGCAGTGCGTTGGTTAGATTTTCAGCAAGCGGTTGGCTGTGAGAAAAAGCTGAGGCTCTGTGAGAAGTTTGACCCGGTGCGCAAAAACACGCATGTTTTCCTTGGTGTCCTGTTTGGCATGCATTTGTAAGCGCTGTGTGTCGCGTTTAAGTTGTCTGCTTTCGGTTCGTCCAGGTAGGAAATAATCTACTGTAATGATTTCTAAACTTTACAAAAAGTAGACCCTCAGCTTATTAGATATCTGCATAACCTGGTAAACAGTTTTCTAACTTACCCTTCTCTTTGGGGCTGAAATACTGCATAGAAATGTCTGTAATGAACCTGCTCAACTTGTTAGACTGACCAGTCACTCACAGCTTTTCTTGTTCTTTCAGGAGGAGCCGAGATTAGGATCGACTCCTTTAGCCATGTTAGCTGCAACATGCAACAAAATAGGGAGTCCGAGCCCTTCACCGTCGACCATTTCGGATAATTCCTCGTCCTTTGGAAAAGGCTTCCACCCGTGGAAACGAGCCGCGGCGAGCAGCTGCAGCCTCGGATCCGGCCTGTCCGGCTTCGGGGTGTCCCGCAACGGATCCGGCATCTCGGACTCTTTCGGCACCAACACCTCCACCGGATCCAGTGCTTTTTCCCTCACGTCCGGTGCCTCGCCTGGTTCACACTTCGGAAACGATTATTCTGTTTTCCAAGCGTCGGTTTCCAGCAGCTCCCAAGAATCCAGCCACCAGCCGGTTTTCATCTCCAAGGTGCACACCTCAGTGGACAGTTTGCAGGGCATCTATCCGAGGATGAGTGTTGCGCATCCCTATGAGTCCTGGTTCAAATCGTCTCATCCCGGTATCCCCACAGGAGAGGTTGGAACCACCGGAGCCTCTGCGTGGTGGGATGTGGGAGCGGGATGGATTGATGTTCAAAACCCTAATGGAGCAGCACTACAAACGTCCTTACATTCCGGTGGACTCCAGACCTCCTTGCACTCTCCACTGGGCGGATATAATTCTGATTACTCGAGTTTAAGTCACTCTGCTTTCAGTACAAGTCCCTCTCCACACCTGTTGACAACCGGCCAGCACCTGATGGACGGTTTCAAGCCGGTGTTATCCTCTTATCCGGACACAAGCCCCTCTCCATTGGCCGGGGCAGGGGGCACTATGCTCTCCGGGGGTCCACCTGCATCTTTAGCGGGGTCTCCGAGGTCATCTGCCCGGCGGTACTCGGGCAGAGCCACCTGCGACTGTCCAAACTGCCAGGAGGCGGAGAGACTGGGACCGGCGGGCGCCAGCCTCCGGAGAAAGGGTCTCCACAGCTGTCACATCCCCGGCTGTGGAAAGGTTTACGGGAAAACTTCGCACCTCAAGGCGCATTTGAGGTGGCACACCGGCGAGAGGCCGTTTGTGTGCAACTGGCTCTTTTGCGGGAAGAGGTTCACGCGCTCCGACGAGCTCCAGCGACATTTACGCACACACACCGGCGAGAAAAGATTCGCCTGTCCGGTGTGCAACAAGAGATTTATGCGTAGCGATCACCTGAGTAAACATGTAAAAACTCACAGCGCCGGAGGATCCGCCGGCTCTGGCTCCGGGGGCAGCGGAGGGAAGAGGGGGAGTGATACCGACAGCGAGCACAGCGCGCCGGGAAGCCCTCCGTGCCATTCCCCCGACCTGTTGCACCAATCCGAGTCAAACCAGGGAGTAGGCATGAACGGCCTCTAAAACTCCCCTCAGTGAAGTAAAAAAAACTGTAAAACAACAAAGTGTTGTGACGGAATTGTCCGAGAGGACACGGGAGTGGACATACTCTGGTGTATGCGCAATGCTTCATAATGAGTGTCGTCATTTAATGAGAAAATAGGCCTATACGTTTCTTTGACTTTTTCCAAGTGTTTAAGACTACTAATTACATAATTTCATAGCTGTACCATCAGAAACTTCTCATTAATACATCCGCGGTGTGAAAGTGTAATCAAGTCATTGTGGGCACACTGGAACAGGGCACAACAAACTTTTGATTTGCATCTGATCCTGAATTCTTCTTTGATGTTTTATTTCCCAGGACAGGGGACGCAAAAGATATACAAACACTGCTGTGAACATTTTTAGGCCTGCAAAGTTGTGCTACTGCTGTCATACATATTGTTTCAAAACCAAACTCTGGCACTTTATTATCGAGCAGGAGAAATTGTTCCTGTGTGTCCCCTGTGGACGGACTGCTCGGTAGAAACAAATACCTGTAGAGTTATGGTCAGATACAGGATGGGTTTGTTTTCTCTGCCTGATCCCATCGAGCGTTTGATAATGGAGAAGCAGTTGTAGGTTTATATCACATATTGCTATTCACTCCACAGCCTACAGTATGTGCGTCAAGCCAAGTTTGTAAGTAGGCCAGTGGAGGTTACTTACACTTCGCTGCAAAATGTGTTGTATATAATGAGAAATGTAGGTTAGAATAATTACAGCCCGATGTAAAGGTGAGTAATGTATTTGTCCAGGAGACGATTTTGTATAGGTATTTCTAGTTGTATATGGACTCTAGTAAATATTTGAAAATATACGGAAAATGTACTTGGATTTTTCTTTGACATGATATGAAATGTATTGTGGGGAGTTATATTTAACCACGACTTTTCTTGTATTTAGGGGTCTATCATTAGGCGCACTTTGAATTTATTTGTTAAGGTTTTGAAATCATTTACTGTTTACCCACTCATTTAATTTAAGTAAGCATGTTGTAAAGTGATTTTAATTTTACAATGGTATTTTTTCCCCCTCTCCGAGAATGGCTTTTTATGTGAGCCACTCAATAAAGTCAGTATGAATTCAGACGCAGTTGATCGACTCAGTTTGTTTGATTGTTGAGTCGATACAATCTATTTTTGAACGGCAGACCTGAAAGTATGGGATAATTACATCGCCTAGAATTTATTCTTTTATATTATAACATTATGCATTTCATTTTTCTATCACTGATGATTTAACACATGTGTTGCGTTTCATGACCTCCGTGTGCAGCTGCTGGTTTTTACACGTTTTTCAGGCCGGGGTGTGAAAAAGGGCCTGAAGCAAGAAACGAGGCCTCACCTATAAATTATTTTTCATCTCAGTAATAAAATCAAATAATTAAATGGAGCAACTGGTTTAAAAAAAGAAAAGGAAAAACAATAATGTATGGGTTTAAATTCAGGCACAATTCTCGGTCTGTGTCAGTTTTTCTGTTGAGCCTGAAAATAAAACCTAAACATTTATCTAGGGACGAAAGTAACAGGTCAAACACGCCTAATGATATCAACCCAGCAATTTAATAGTATGCTATTTAATATGTGTATTATAAACAGTACGTTATTAACTGTATTTCCAATGGTACATAATGTCAGTTCTCTATTTGGTTGTTATTTACATATTTTTTCCCAAATTCCAAAAATATTAATGAGTTTTTTGTAACCAAACTTTCTTGCTCAGCGGACCTTCCTCCAAAATACGCACATCTTTTGTTCATCCAAAATGTGTGCTGGAAATAAATGCGCAGTAGATTTAGTTTCTACAGATGTATGCCTACATTATGGACAGCAGTCTATAAATATTTAAACACAATAAGACAATTTAATGAAATATCGTTTTAAGGTTGGGCTTAATTTGACTTTATCCCAAGTTACACTAAATCACTTGCTACAATTCAAAATTATCAGTTTAAAATCATCAGTACAAGATCAGAAACAAGAACAAAGGTGTATTTATTTATTTCCAATTTATATCTATTTGCTATTTATTTATTTTTTATATTTTGCAATAATATATATTTTTAAATATATATTATATATTTAAATGCCTGTCTGAGGTCACACAATTGAGCTTTTTTCCCCATTTAAGCAAGCAGCTTGTATTTTGTATTTTCTGTCAGTTACAACATTTAATAGAGATAATCTCAGTTTTCCTATTTACATTTTTTATTTATTGTTTCTGGAGTTTTTACGCATCAAATATACGCACCTATAATGACATGATAGTGTGCGCACTGACGGACAGATCATCCTCTAAACTGTGTTACAGAAATTATGATAAATATCAACACATCTAATTATTATATTTCTCTAAGTATTGTGATTTCTGTTTCCTGAGCTTATCCTTGAAGGGCAAACTATACCAGTATCTTCCAAACTTCTGTTGGACTGCTCTCTAAGCGCAGCTCTGTAGCGCCATCTAGCGCTTTAACATTCAACCAACAGGAATTTAAAGTTCAACCTTGGTCCACTTAACCAGCAATTCATGGTTTGGAGTTCTAGTGACATTACAGATAGCTGAGAAAACTTATTCTGAGTTATTCAAGCAAGCTCCCCTTCAGTTTTACTGCATTTTCAAACCACATTCACACTTGTTACTGTTTGTGCAGAACTCTGAGACTAAAAATTGAGGCTTTAATTTCAACAAATTCAGCTGCAAAGATGAACAATCGGTACTATGAATGCCTTTTTTCAGCACTATGAGACATGTGCATTGATATGAACAACATAAGGTGATCATGATCCCCAGTTCACCCACCTAACTTCTTGAATCAGATCAGGTGTAGATATGTGTCAGTCGGGCTTGAAGCACAATGTTCTGTGGTGTCTCAGATGATGCTTTCAAAATTTTATCAATGATAAGCAAATTAGACATTAAAGTACTTATAGGTCTCGCTCTGAGGACTGCATTAAGACATCTCAATGGAACAACTAATATTCATCCTAATGCTTTGCTGGAATTCCTGAAAAAGGCCCATAATGACATAAAACATTAATCTTCTTTCACACATCAAAATGTTAAAGTGCACACACACACACACACACACATACTAAGAAGGATGACACTTACACCTTCATATCCTCTTCTTCTCCTCCTCTTCTCTGTTGATACTTCTTCTGCGATGGTGCAGCCAAGCTGAAAATGCTGTGAGGACAAAAACAGTCAAAGTGAAAAGTGACAAGTTAAGGTGGGACCACAAAACTGAAATAGCAGAGCAGATAGGTTTTGACTGAGGAAATTCTGCCTTTGCTGGGTCACTGAAGCACTCTGGCGTTATTTGGGATTAGGTTATAGAGACATACAAGGCCTACAGCACAATTACACACCAAATCCCCTTTGAATTACCTGTGTTTTAATATTCACAAAACAATAAGTATTTACAGCCAGTGATTAAGCTAAAGGGTAAAGATGTTACAGGCTTTATTGTATCTTTGTTGTGACTCTGGTTGCAACAAGATAGTTCACTTTTTGAGTTGCTGCATTTTTCAGTAAAATCAGAAACATGAGACAAAGATTGTTCACCACTCAAGCAGCAAATATATTCACACACAAAGGACTATGGGGGAAATTTTAAGTCAAGCATTCCCTTCAGCATCAGGTTTGACATGTTAGGTTTTGTTTTTTGTTTATTTCAGATTGGTTTATTGAAGATTTTATCCCAGGAAGTTTCAAAAATGGAAAATATATTTCATAAAACTGATATCAACCAGGACTGGAAGACAAACTGCTACTAAAATGTTTAAAGTAATATACATTTTTAGTTTGACTCAAACTGGCCTCAAACATTTGAGAGAAGATTTTATGTCAAAAAACAATGGTCTTCAACTTCTTAAACAGATGAGTAAAATCTAAACAGTCAAAAAGTAATCATTAAATGTGAACAGAGTAATTTTGGCCTCATGTCTCAGAGCGCACAGCTCTGTGTTGTCATGTTATTAACACCTTCCCAGACTGTTGCAGCCTCACCTGGTCCTCACAGGAGTGTCCCACCGCTGCCCTCATTTGAATTAAGTTGGCCTCAGAGAGGAAGGTAACACATGCTGTGATGAGGAGGGTGAGCTGCCAACTATGGATGAAGGCCATGATAACAGCTACGGTCAGAGCGTGTTGGCAGCCAAACCCAGCTTTGATCCATCTAGAAAACACGAAAGAGAAATAATCATCCTACACTGGATATTGTATGTATAAATGACATGGAGGTTGTAATCTGCTTAATAATATATACATAGTAATATAATAATACTCTGCTTAATTCATGGCAGTCTTGACTGAGGCTCCACGGACACGCCAGCTGCTGTTGATATGATGAGATATATTGGGTTTTCAAGCTCTACCAGCAAACCACAGTGTTGTGGTGACACCTCTCACCGATGATGCATCTGTGGCCAATTTTGTGGTTAAAACCACCAACCGCACTGTCATTGTCATCAAACCAACCAATCTCCAGGGAAAGGCAATTTGACGAGGCTAAGAGGTTAGTCAAAATAATTAACAGTAATTGCTACAACACTGACAGCGGTGCCCTTATACAATGCTTTTGGCAATTTAGATTCATTTACGTCACAGGTGGTGTTTCACCTGTCTGATCTGATGAGTGGAATACCTGCAGACTGAGCCTCACTGGGGGAAACTGATGGATATAATGACTTCATCACATCAGTGTCTATTGAATAAACACAGTTCACCACAGGATCAAAATGAACGACTTCTCTACCTGAAAACAAACGTCTGGGGGAACACCAGCGGCAATAAAACAGAGACAAAAACATGTGTTGTCCCTGTGATATCACCTCAAAATACTGCCGACACTTATAACCATGAGATTAAAAGACATCATCATATTAAATGCAGCGATGATTCTCTATGAAAACCATCCCAATAAGATGATGACAGCAAAGTGACACTCGAGATAAAGGATCCCGCAGCAGGTATAAGCCCTGAGCCATCTTGGTGAAGGTGATACGAGCATGTTTACCAAAGCTTTCCTGTCTCTCTGACACTGATAGAGACCACTATACTGCAATATACACTGGAAGATCTGTAGCTGCAACAGAAAATTGTCATCAATAATTTTGATAGTTGGTTGTCCAGCAAAAAGTACTTGAGGGATTCAGCTTATCAAATATGAGGGTTTGCTGCTTTTCGTGATCATACATTACAATAAACTGAATATCTCTGGGTTTTTGGATAAAAAAAGACATTTGAAGGTATCAACTTGGACTATGGAAAGATGTGATGGACATTTTTCATAGGCTTATAGTATTATAGGTTGAAAAATAATCAACAGATGAAACAAAAATCAAAATAATCCTTAGCTGCAGCCTTAATCACATATGGCAGGATTACATTGTAACGTTAATGCTGCATGATAAGAAAGCAGACTCTATGCAGGCATGGACACCTTTTTATAGGCCTACATGTTGTCTTTGTATCATCAGCTGATAGAGACAGAGCATACCAAGTTTTACACTGCTTTGTTTAGGCGTTTTAAAATAACCATAGCCACATTACTGTTTGTGCTTTAGTTTTAGCAAAACGTTCCTTAGGCTACGTGTTGGAGCGGTGAAAATCTAAAACAAATAGATATCTGCTCTCTGGATTTAAAATGAAAAACACTGAGAAGTCTGACTTAATGAACAGTAGAGAAATGGCTCCACCAAGTGGCACAAACATGTAAGTTTCATCATTTTTAAATTTGAGCCTTAATTTTTTTGTTTGTCCCTTTCTTTAACTTGAGGACCATGCATTTCATTGTCCACTGGGTAAACATGGGTTTGCACAGCAGGTTGTTATTTTCTTTCATGTCAATCATCAACTCTGGTAAATTGTGAAAATCACTCACATTTGAATCATTCGAATCTATAAATCTGTCTCTATGCAAAAAAAACCTGAGATTCGCAGAGTTTGTCGAAATCTTTCCTGAGTTGGAAATGATAGAGAAAGTTCCACAGCTGTGAAATACAAAATTTCACCTCAATGTGAATTTGAAACTGATTTGTTCTTTTTCGAACAAATACACAAAATGATGATCAAATCTAATTTGCTGCTGAAAGAAAAACATTAGATGTACTCACACAAAAATGAACTTCCAGCTAAAAATAAATAATCAAGTAAATAAGATAAAATAAAATAAAATTCCCCAAGGTGTAAATGCAATATTACCAGACAGGAAGTGTCATTTAAGTAAGTGTTGTTAAAGGTATATCGTTTTTTTGTTGTTGTAATCAATCATATAATAATCTGCTTCTTAATATTAAAAGTAATACACTAATACACGGCAGTAGCTCAGTCCATAGGGACTTGGGTTGGGAACCAGAGGGTCGCCTGTTCAAGTCCCCGTCCGGACCAAAATATGGAGCGTGGACTGGTAGCTGGAGAGGTGCCAGTTCACCTCCTGGGCACTGCCAAGGTGCCCCTGAGCAAGGCACCAAACCCCCCAACCGCTCGGAGCACCTGTCATGGGCAGCCCACTCTGACATCTCTCCACTTAGTGCATGTATAGGTCCAGTATGTGCGTGTGTGTTCGGACCTGTGTGTAATTGACAACAGAGTGAAAAATTGAATTTCCCCTCAGGGATTAATAAAATTAAAATTATTATATTACTGATATTTGAATTATGTATATTATCAAGTTTATTGATTTTAATAATTTAACAATGAGCCATTGTTCTTCAGCTTGAAGGAATGGCTGTTGATAGGATACTGTCAATACTTACTACTTACTTACTCTTATTTTGAAGCATAGGCCTACCAGTGAAGCAGAGGGCAGAAAAATATGTACAGCTGACAGAACATTTTCTTTAATAACTGCACCTCAAAATACACATCTTAACACTGGTGACTATCTGTCATAGTCAATAAAGAGCAGGTGTTACTGATGACAATGTGACAAATCAAAATATTTTCTCTAAAAGTCTGGAGTTATTCTTGTTTTCTTGGCAACGATTGCATGAAAAAAAGGAAAAAGAAAACCAGCTAAGTCTGTTTTTCAGTACATTCTGACATCCACTTTTCAACAAGGTTCAGTAATTTCCTGAGCACTGTGGCCTAGCGTTTAGCGAACATTAACTTATGAGTAAACAACCACATTCACGTGCTTTTTAATAGTTTCGGGAGAACAATGAAAGTCTGGGGCACAGAGGGGGGAAAACTATAGCAGGCTATGGATACAGAGATAACATTAATCATGGGAAAATAAGAAATAAATACAAAGAAAAGCAGGGCATACCACCAGCCTAATCCCATGCATGTTCTCAAAGCAGCCACAAGGGCGCAGAATTTGCACACACATCTGTCCTGGGTTTCAGATACCAGATACTGGATTATCTGACTAAGTGCTGATAATGAAATTATTTGACTGTGAGGAATGTGGGAGGTATGTAGATTGCATCTGTTTCGTTTCATAATCAAACAGTTAACACCAACATCATGCATGCACATCTTACAGTCATAACAAATGGTGTAAAACAGTGAGATGTTTTACAAAAATAAACATGTTTCAACATCCAGTCCTCAATCATATACTTTACTAAACACTTTAACTTCTCTAGTCGGGGGATTTTAATGAGTCATGCTAAAGTCCAGGCTGCTGCAGCCATATTTGCTATGAAAAATCATAATCTGCTCAAGAGTGCTTAGTTGCATTCCTTTGGTACTAACTGCCTGTGGATGCCAGGGCCTGCATCCAAAGACCACAACAGCTCTGATACAGCATCTAAACTTCAGCATGGATATTCATCAACTGAGATAACAGCTGAAACACAAACAGTAAGCTGCTCCAAAAGGGGGTATCTGGAGTTATTACTTTTTATACACTTTGGCACGCAGCTGCAAAGCTATACGCAGCTGAAATAATGGTTCCTTGCTGTAGTATTTCTATAAAGACTACTACATAACAGTGTAAATAAGTGATCTATTGAGGTATTCACATGTGTGTAACCTGTTCATTGAGATAACATGACCTTGTGTCCTTGATGAGATTAACCTCAAAGGTCATTTTGGCTTTGAGTCACTCAAAACAGCAGTGATAATGAGACAGTAAAATCAATAAATCCTTAATATCGCTGTTACAAAATAGGTATTACATGAGTGACCATGCAAGAAAAGGAAACACTGTTATAATGCTTATTTTGTTATGTTTATGCCTTATAAATATACAGTAATGGCATGTAAACACGTGCCTTTGCTGCCAAATTCTCAATGCGGTGTGGACTAGACAAGCTGTATTAGTGTAACTATATATAACCAGACTAATAATATATTTAGTTTAAATACTAACTGGGTGATTAACAATGTTTGTAGTGTCTCCTGGTCTTGTTAGTCACCTCCACCTCCCTTGTTAACATGCTTAACACTGAACTCAGACTCCTGTCGAAACTACGGGTATCGCTCGGTTTCAGGTGTTGCAAGTCTCGTGCGTAAACACAGAGGTGCATTGCGGGTATTGTAGTCACCCGCCCCCAGACAGGCCACTCCTCCGCCGTGGCTCCTGGATTATTTTAAACTTCCAGTCCCAAAATGCTCCGTGCCCGAGAGCAAACACAGTAAAGAGCTGTAACGTGAGGAGGTGAACATCAGAGATACGCCCCAGACCACACAGTAAGTGATAGTGGGTTGGCCTCTTTTTCCTGCCAGCGCTCCGAAGCAAAACTACAGTCATCTCATGCCGACGGTGAGATCAAACTTTTGTTTTCTTTTCCATAATAATAGATGGTTTTTCTTGTCGCGTTTTCAGTACAGGAAGTGGCCTGTGTAGGTTAGGTGTATTAATGTGTAACCACGGGGTGTATACACACCTGTTGAGGCGCTGACACTGATACTTGGCAGTGTTGGCTGTTGCAGCTGTGGTTAGTGAAGCTGGAAGTGTGAATCTGTGCTACTGAGTATGTCTTACTGTGGATTATTAATGAATGCCACATTTGTTTGAGAATATTTGCATATGAATTAATAAACAAAAAAAAAAAAAACATGAGACATGCAAAAGATTAGGCTACAGTCAGATTAGTTTAGTTGATACTGAGTCACTGTATGACAGGCATCACAGTAAGTAATGCTCAGAATATACATTTGTACTGACAGTAGTACAGTGGCCCTGCACTGTGATCACAGGAAGAAGCGCTGAGAGAGCTGACTACT